ATAAAAAAAAAAATTTTGAATTTACTTACTTGTAGCCAGAGTTAGAGGCGGTCGGATACTTATGACCGCTACTGTATAGGTGGTATGAGTATCTTTAGCATTTTGTTCACCTCCTCAAGTATGACATCTAATTCCTGATGCTGGTTTGACCATCCTGATCGTGATACAACCATATTCTGTTCGATAAGTTAGCAAATCTCTAGATGAAGACACATTAGTTATTCCTCATCGGCCACCTCAATTGCTTGATAAATAGGATGTCACCTGGAAGACCAGATAAGAGCAAATATTCTACATGCGGCAGATTTAAGTAAAGATTGATTGGTTCTAACTCTAGTACGATAGTTTATTATAACTTATAGATACCAAAAGATCTAGAAAATTGACTTAAGTATTATATACAAAATTTTAAGAATTTCAATAATTGACATATCTGTTCATATTTTAACTTATATAATTCATCGGTTTGGTTTTTAGCCAACTGAGAAATTCACTAACGGATGGATTAGGAACTAAAATAACATAAGGCCAGACTAATTCTATTGCTATTGCATGCTGATAAATATGGCATATTGAATCCTATGCTTTATGATGATCAGCACATTTCTTAAAATAACCTAGTTGATTCTTAGTTCTATATCCTTGACATTGTGCAAAATATTTTAGATCAATTGCCCTAAATTTCATATATAAATAAAAGATCATGAATTAGCTTTATTGAAATTGGCTTTAGGATAATTAATGATAATACCAATTCAACTCTACAAAGGCTTTTAACATGTTCATTTTCTCGTGAAGTGGACCAGGCACTAAGAGTATTCCCGGATAATCCTTTTTAAATTTTTGTGTATAATGTTAAGGTACTCTATTATAAACTACTACAATCCATTTCCGATTACCATTATTAATTCCACTAATTTCTTGAATATGATCTAAAACTTTGTGAACATTAGTGATAGAATTTGGATTTACTGGTAAAGGATCTGGAACATGAATATCAGGTATATTAACATCTTTCTGGGGTATTGATCTTTGGGTTATACTAATTGAATTTGTATGCTTGTCAGAGATATCTGTTTCAAACTTGTGAGATCTAAAAATAAAAGATTTGGTAGAATCTTCTTTCTCAGGAGTTATTTGTTCAGTTTCTTGTTGTATTTTGGCAAGTGTAAGAAGTTTTGCATTATATTGAGGGCATTTACACTTAGAATTTTCAATTTCATTCTTATCACATTCATGACAATGCTTTTGTTTACCTATATTAATACTCTGCTTGGCAATTAGATTATCAATATGATTTATATTTCATTTTTCTCTGCATACGCTTCAGCTAGGATAATGGAAAGATAATTATAAAGCTGTTGGTCAAGTAATGTTTGCATTTCTGGGGTAAGATCAAATAGTTCTTGAATTTGTAATGCGCTAAGAGTTTTATGTAACCAATGATTTTCAAGACTCTGTATTTGACTGGTAGGATTAAAGTTAAATAAAACAAAGCTTATAACAGTATGAAAAATAACAGTATTATAACCGCAGTCTAAATAGTTTTTCTGTCCCTTTTGTTCATTGTCAAATGCCATAAATAATAATCCTTTTGGAAAGGGTTCGGGTTCACCAGCTAGATCTTCTTGCCATTTAATAAATTTGGTATAACTGTCAGCACCTGTGATGTGATTATCAATATTAATAATGGTCTTAGATTTTGCTATAGAATATTTAATCGCTGATGCTGCTAAATTAATAACAGATACATATTTTAAGTGTCTTGCCCCATAAATCACATCAACTGCTTCAGCACATTTAAAAAGTTTTTCTCCTTCAAGTTTCTTTTTGTTATTATAATTTGTAAGAGATTCTATAAATTTAACAACAACTGGATTGCGGTCATTAAGTTATTGAGAAATTGAATACTTTAAAAGATTATCTAAACTGAATCGCCCCTGATCATTTATTAAATTAGCAATATCATCATATACATTTTTGCGTTCTTTTTGAGCAATTTCTATTGCAGCCGCCACCCGTTTTGATTGATTATCAAATTGAGTATTCCATTGTTCTCTTAATACTTGATTTTCAAATAATAAATCCTTGATTTGAGACTTTAATTCATTGATTATTTGCTGATCATCATTAATTATTTGCCGATATTTATTTATAAGTTTAACATCTTGCTGCCGTTGAAATTCTAAAGCATATAAGTTCGCTTCATTCTGAGATAATTGTAATAAAAGACTATCCATATCTGGGTGTGATAAAGAAACTTGAATCCCAATTTCATTGACAGCTTTTAATTGAGGTGTATTATCAGCCGTCGATAGTTGCAGCACATTTTTGTCAATAGTATGCCGTAATCGTTTACGTTGATTTATATGGATAGATTTATTTCCTGTTCTTAAATGCTCAAGAAGATGGTTAGTAGCAATTATTTGATTATAATATTGTTCACAGAAAGAATAATGCTTCAAAGATTCACTTAATAGTACTAATTCTGGAAAATATTCAGCAAAGAGACTTATCTGTTCAAATGTCACTTTTCCTGTTGCATACCGCTATCGTTGTTTCTATTTGGTTTTATATAGTGATAACGGACTTGAACTTGAGTATATCTCAGTAAGTTTAGCAAATAAACATGGTAAGGTATCAGCTTGTGGTCTTGCTTCTGCATTCACTAAAGGTCATAAAATAAGCAAGAGTCAGTTACAGTTCTTTGCGTATTTTAAATGAAATAACTCATAAAATATAAATTTTGAGGTAAAGAATACTTTGGTCAGTTTTATGGATTATGAGCAAAGGTTTGTGGATTATGAAACTACACACTTGAACGCATTTATTTCAACAATTACATGAATTACTGATATGTTAGCATACAGTTTTCTAGATGAGATGATCTATGGATCTATAGATTTTAAGAACTAATTAAAAATTTTCGAACAACCAACATTCTTTGATTAGTATTCTATTATATAAAATCCTTTTTTAGAAATCTCCCGGACTGTATTAAGATGAGATAAATATTTCACTTGTATTACTCTTACAATTTGATGATTAATAAGAAGTTGGTAAAATCATTTCTTACCTGGCGGGTGAAATACAAGCTGGCTCAAAATTTGGAGCACTTGGCATAGTTACTTTAGAACATTCATTATTCCAATGATATTTCATAAAGTCTTCAGATTTGACTTCATAGCCATATCTACGCTATCTATTAAAATATTCCTTTTTTAACTTTATATTGTCAACCTTTATTAACTTCTAACAATCAAAGCAAATAGCCATTTTTCTATTATAAATATTAGGCGTGTGATAACTAATTAGAATCTCTTTTCCTGTGCAGTTCTCACGATATGTCTCAGTTACTCCTTGCCCAAATGATCTGAAAAGATAGAATACATTATAATAACTACTATATTTTTTATTAATTAATATTTGTAAAGTTGATCTTACTCGATCAGCCTATTGTTGTGAAGTTTAATGCAATCTAATTATGGATAAATTATCAAATTTTTTTTCTGCCTTAAGTGCCTTTTCAAAGTCAAAAGGAGTGCTATAGCTGATATATACATAATAATTTTTAATATACTTTATTCCATAACCAGGGCGAAGATTAGTGGGTTTAGGTACAGATTTATTAAAATCTTGTCTAAGATAATATAAATACATTTATTAGATCTTGATCTGTTAATATAGGTTCCTAACATATTTAACGATTTATAGCATTTTTAGCGAATTTTAGCAATTCTTTAGCAACTTATACTAGATAATATCATCATTCAAATTTATACTGATTAGCGATTAGTTTATTTGTAGCCGATTTGTGAGACTACATACTAGTAAATTCAAATTCATTTTATTCATATTAGGAATTTATATCTTGACTAAGCTAATTTATATTTATATGTAATTTGTGAATCTCTCATGATTAACAGGGATTAGCCAGAGTACTTTGAATGATGTATAACATAAAAATTTGTATCACCCTGGCTTTCAGTCAGTTTCTAATACTTTCTCGCAACCTTCTCACAACTCAAATCACGAGGATCAACCAATCAGATTTTACACAGTAACTAAGCCACCATTATTTTTTCGATCGTTATATTAATCATTAATCATTAATTATTACAAAATTAAAGCGCTGACTGCACACGAAACTAAATTAGATGATTTAAGGGATTTCAGGAGGAAAATGTATTATATTTTTATTATTTTATATAGTTTTTCCATTTTTTTACTTATATTTTTAAATAGAAATTAATCAGTTGATTTATGATTATTTAAATTCTAAATTGATGCCAAATGATGCTGAATTGAGATCAATTTTAGGCTGATTTATAGTTATTTAAGTTCTGAATTGATGCTGAATGATGCTGTATTAAGATTAATTTTAGGCTAATTTATGTTATTTAAGTTTTAAATTAATGCTGAATGATGCAGAATTAAGATTTTAAGCTGATTTATGATTGAATTTAAGTTCTGAATGGCTATGTCTAATTGGAGTCGATTGGCATCTATCAGCGTTTGAATTATTGCTAAATTGAGGTCAATTTTAGGCTGATTTATAATTGAATTTAAGTTCTGAATTGATACTAAATAGCTATGTCTAATTGGAATTGATTAGTGTCTATCAGTACCTGTTTGTGCTAATCAGAAAATATGGTAAGTCAGCCATAAATAGTATCAAAATTAGCCTAAAATCAGCTATCTGATTTTTAGCTGATTTGGACTATTTTGACCAGTATTAGACTAAATATTTTTATTAGGTCTAAAATCTAATAGTATATTATTAGAAATTAAATAAGTTCTAATTCTAATACTGAATATAAATTAACTTTATATTAATTATTTTATCTATAATAATATTATATTACAATACAATTATATTGTTAAATAAATATTACTGATTTCTAAAATGCTTAATAATACTAATGTTTATTTTGTATACAGTATATTTTATATAATTTTATTAGCATCTATTTCATATTTATTATAGAAATTCTTTTTTTTTGATTAAGAAAAAGGATTCAAAATATTATAAGAGATTTAATTTATATTAAACTAATATAAAATATTTTTAAAAAAGTAATTTTTTAAATTATTTAATATTATAATAAATTAAAGAAAATAACTATTACCATCTTATAAGTATCATATCCTATGATTTTACATAATTATAATCTCATCATTTGTAATTTTTTTAAATTACTTAAAAGTATAATTAATTGTAAAATAAAAATTTTTATTTTTTTCTTTTAATTTTACACTTCTAATTAAAAAAACTGTGTCTTTCAAAAATGAATCCTAACTTTTAAGAAAACCTTTTTTTTGACTATAAAAATGTTTATTCAGATTCAGGTTCAGAAATAATTATTAATGATAAACTTGAGGAATCATCAAAAAATAATGATATTCAAATGCTAGAAATTCAAACTGGATTATCATTTAAATCATGAGAATATGTCAAAAGATGGTTTAATACATATAGTTTCCAAAAAGGTTTTAGTTATAAAACTAAATAAAATGAGTCTAATGATGATAGTATTGTTAAATAACTTATATATGAGTATTTTAAATCTGACAAATATATTGTACAGGTTACTATAGATCTTATAAAAAGACGAAATACATAATCACAAAACAGAATGCCTTTGGTGAGTTAATATTATATTTTCTAAACTAATAGTATTATTAAAGTTACTTCTTTTAATAATAATCATAATCATTCTATAAATTCTATGATTGGAAAAATGGCTTCATAATTACATAAAATTTACCTTTAAAATGTTAAATGATATTAAGAAATATGTTATTATAGTAAAAATGGATTTATTTTCAATATATTCATTACTTATTCATGATTATCCTAAGAATATCATAAATAAGCAAGATTTATATAATGCTATATATAAATTTCATCATCAAAATAATTCTGAAGATTCAGATATATTATAGATGTTATAATTATTGCTATAATAGAAAAAAGATGATCTAAGATAGATTATTAAACCTTGTATTAAAAATATTTCAAAACATTTAATATCTATTATATAGATATTACTCTTACAGTTAGATTTGTATTTACAATATTTTGACATTATTATTATAGATACTACTTCTAACACTAATCATTTTTGTCTAATGCTTTATATTATTATTATTATCGATAATAATTTTAAATTACATATTGTAACTATAGCCTTTCTTGAAGATAAAACTTTAGAATCTTTTTGTTGGATCTTTAATATTTTATATCAAGAAATTAGAATTTATTCTAAATCAATATATATTAATTCTGATTCAGCAATAATAGAAGTAATTAAATATATTTTTTCATATACTAAGCATTTTTTATGTATATTTTACATTGATTTGAATTTGCAAAAAAAATTAAAGGGTAAACTAAAACAATATTTTAAGAATTTTATAAACAATTTTATACTTGTTGTAACAGCCTTTTTCAATAATTATTTGAAATTCAATGGTTATTATTAATTGAGAAGTATTCTATTGTTGAAAGATATTTAATTAAAGTTTTGTTCAAAAATAAAGAATCTTAGGTAACAGTATGGATTAATGCTTTTCTGTAGAAATACAAAATACTTAACGTATTAAATCAATTAATAATCATATTCATAATAAAGTAGATTGTACAATATCATTATATGATTTATTACATAGAATTAATAATCAGATAAGCAATAAAGAACAATTTGATAAATTTGAAATCCAGCAAAATGTAATTTCAACAGCTGGCTTACTTATAATTCATATACAATTTTTTAATTAAATAGATGAAATAATAAAGATCTATCTTAATTCAATCATTCTTGCAAAATAATGAAATTAAATAAATGAATCATTATGTTATAATGTTTATCTTATTACTCAATAGCAAAATATTATTTTAAGACAATATTATAATGATAATAATGAAAGGTTAGAATTAGATTTTAGAGAAACACAATATGATACCTCTCAAATACTTTTTAGTTCTTTAATTGAAAATGTTTCTGTTAAACAGATAATTCAAGTTTGACATGTTAAATGAACTAAATGTACAACCATTAGAAATTATGTTGTATTACTTAATGATGATATATATCTTTACACATGCATGATGTTAATCAATAAAGGCATTATTTATCATCATTTTTTTCATATTGAAATTTATTTAGATTTAGTAATATTCTATATTAATTTATTTCTTCTCACTAGTATAAAGATCTAAATATTTTACAAAATGATCTTCTTCTCTAAATTAAACCTATTTAAATCTCTTATACAAATGATTCATACAGTCTATTAATATAATAAATTACATTAGATCACTTATTATTAACTCGGAATATTACTACTCATAATAATACTATAACAAGAAGGACTAAATCACCTTATGCAAAGTTATCTGAACTATCTAGAAAAGTTATTAATTTAGTGATCAAAGGTGATATGCATAAAGAGCTTAATATACTTTTAAAAGAATTTATTACAGATGTTCAATCAAAAATGAAATCTATTGAACCTGAAAGTTTTATATTAGATGTGAAAAATCCTATTATTACACAACATAAAGGAAGGTCTCAAAAAAGACTTAAATCTAGTGTTGAAATTACTAAATCCAAAGGTAAACAAATATTAAATGAGAGCACTAATACTTATACTATTGATGATAATGAAAGTAATTAGGAAACTACAAGTACATATGAAAGGAAATGTAGTAAATGTAAACAAATAGGCCATTACGCAAAAACATGTCCTAATTAATAGTTTTTAATAGTGTTAGATATTTATTATGTAAAGTCCTTAAAATAAATTATTAAATTTAAGAAAATTACTACGTACCACCACTGGTGGTGTCACGTGATTTCTAGTTAAATAATTTGTCATCACGCGTCACTCCTTCCAGTTTTTTTATTAACTTTCTAAGGTTTAATGTGTCATTTTTGAGCAGTAGAGATGTTTATGATGAAATATATAATTAAAAAATTCCTAAATTAACATTTTGGTAAGATTAAGGAATATAAATATATAAGGGAAAATTCTTTCAAAATTAATGATATCACTTAAGCCTTTGAAAAAATCCTGCAAACACATAAAAAAGCGCTTTGATAGCCAAAGTAAACTAATTAGAAAATATATCAGTGACCTGCCACTGTCTTAACCAACCTTAAGCCAATGGCAACAATCCTGTTAACCAAAGAAAAGTAAGTAGGTAAATTACATTCAACTATCTACTGGTGGAAATAATAATTCACGAGAGATTTGTTCTCAGGAAATATGAACTTTACAAGGGTCACGATATGGAAAAAAAAGAACTCCAATGAAACAGGTATTTATTGAAAAACGTTTGATGATATGATTAAATTGATTAAGAATCACTTACAAACTTCAACATTATATCATCCGAACCTTCTTTTTATCATTAAGTGATCGCGAAACATCTTTCTAAATAGCAAATATCATTCTATTCGTGTTTTATCTCTATTCAATTCTCTATTCAAATCTCTATCTATCTTATCTTTCTCTGCAATTTTTATCAATTTTTGCAAAGATGAATAAAACATTGGAACACATATATAATATCCAATTCCCAAAATTAACGCCAACGTTAGAACTAATTTAAATGCTACGCGTGGAACTCCATAAGTTAAAGTCTCCAAAACTAAATAAATTTAAAAAAAATTCAGCATAACTTTTTTTCATGTTCAAAAACAAGCACACGAGGTTAAAAGATCAATTTTACCGATGTTATATATAATTGGACGAGATTCTCTCCCGGGAATGATTGACACTCCATCATATATAGCCCTTACACGAAGCAATTTTTTTGTTGTAGTCATAATTGGTTGAGAATTCTTATATTAAAAATTTTAATAAATCATAATCAATTAATTAATGGCAATTACTAATGATTCATATATTTATAGTAATTCTTTACCGATTGAGGAATTTCCAACGATCTCCGTTTTTCAAAAATATTTGCTGCTTCTTCGAAACCCATTATTTCCAACATAAAGGTTGTTGGCGACTTTTATATCGATACCTTATCAATAACTTTTCACTTGAGAATTACACAATGAAATTATTTCAAATTAACTCACCGTTGCTGCATATGACACTCTTGTTTCATAAGTTTTTCCTTCTTCTAAATCATCAAGAATGTACCATTTTTCCTTTTCTCCTGTCTTGTCTTGAGAAAGTTCGTCAACATGTTTGAAAGGTACTATCCGATCATAACGCTTGATAGTGTATGGAGGAGTTAAAGTCTTTAAATTTAAGAAAAAATATTACTTTTCTTTTTATTTAATTTTTAAATACAAGTCTACAAGTCGAATTCATTTGCTAAATAACACACCAGTAAACCCCCTTGTTCACCCCATTCGGAAATTTCTTTGAAAAGGGTTTCAGAAATCTTCACAGCATTAGAAGTAAAAACTTCCTTTTCAATATTTGCCTTAATTGGTTTAATAAACCGAAAATATAATATTAAGAACGCAAATAACGTGTTTTCGAAAAAAAATTTCATACTTTCAAAAATGTTTTATTAAGAAAATAAACCCCAATATTTTATTACCGCAGCGCGCTTTAATTTCGATACCAATTTTGGAACTTTGCATTAAAATTCGTTAGATTTGCGTAACAATGGTCTCAGTGGCTTAGAAATTGATATATTAAAAATTGCCCAATTCGAACATCAAAATTCCTCCTTTGAACCGGCGAAAATGCTATCTCGACTCGTGCGAGAGCATAGTCAAAAACAACAAGTTGTGAGGCGTAATACTGGTATTTTGCTTATTCCTTTCATGACTTGTCACGCCACATTTTTATGCTTAAAGTTATTTTTTCTTCACATAGAACAACTTCGGAAAGAGGCTATACAGGCCGTAAATGAGGTGACCGATTCTTTAGCCGATACTTTAAACGAAAGGTATACATTCTTTGGACAAGCAAATCATGACTAAATAAGTGTTTGAAAAGTAGTCCAAAGATTATCACATAAAGGTTTCGCCTTTTTTCCTTATTTGTTTAAGATTTATCAGACATTTTTTTTTTTAAGAGTCTCGGCTGTATTTAAAACTCAACGTGAAATTGAGTCTGAAGCAAGGCGGTTGTCCTCCCAATCGGCAAAATATACTAAACAAACAAAACAATGGTTAAACATGTTGGAAGGATTTAATTCGGCTTTAAAGGTGTTGTTCTGTATATCTTGTATTACTGGAATTTTGTTTGATTCTAAAATAACGTAATCTTTTCCAAACAAAGGAATTGGGTGATGTTCAAAACTGGGCAGAAGTAATAGAGAAAGATATGAGAGAAATTGCCATGACTATGGAATTTGTCCATAAAGGTTTGTCAAGAAAGAATATTTTTATTTGATGGCGTGATATTTAATATATTAGAAGGCTGTGAGATGTATTTATTTTTTTTTTAGGAACAATTGAAGGTCAATTAGTAACCACGTCAAGCATTGGGGAACCGGGAGGCGATGCGAGCTCTACCAATAACTAAACTTGAGGAAATGAGAAAATTAAGAACAGGACACTTTACTCCATAATTGGAAAAGTCTAAAGGACTAACAAAAAAAAAAAATCAGGTTTTCCACGATAAAATTTATGTAATCTTTCACAAGGAAAAAGGCGTGATGATATTAAGATATCGATCACGATCGGGATAGAAATGCATTAAATAAATTATAGTTTCTTGAATCCTAACTGAATATAATCTTCAAAAGAATCAATCCTAAAGTAATAGCCTATTATGGAATCTAGGCTTGCGTTATTATTTCCTGTTTGAAAACCCTTAGGTGTTGAGTGTTAAACAAACCTTACCTTACAACCTATCATTTAATGTATTACTTTAATGACATTTATTTTATTATCAATTGATCTAATTGATTGATATTTATTTTATTCTTTGATAAAATAAAATAGATGATAATTGATATAACTGCGTGAATATGAATAGCCATACTAATTAATACAAGTATTTGTGGTTTGTGAAGTTGATCAGTATGTATATATTTTATGTAAGTGAAGTTGTGATATCACGATAAAATAGGAGGGAACTTTACACCAAAAAAAAAAAAAAAATAATTCTCGGAATTCTCGGATTGGGATTTTATTTTACTTTATTTTAAACTTTATTTTAATTTTTTCATATATAAGATACAATGAAAGGACCCAACTCTTTTTTTTTTTTTTTCCCCTTATCTCTTAATAAACATTTCTTACAAAAAAAAAAAAAAAAAAAAAAAATATCCTTTTAAAAACTTTTCATTGTCCATTTCTTCCTTTCTTTCTTTCTTTCTTTCTTTTTAAAAAGGAAAGAAAAAAAAAAAAAAATCTTTTAACGTTCGTCATTTATACATTTATTTATATATAAAGTTCAATAATACGCTTTTTTTTTGATTTTTTTTTTTTTGCGCGAAGTGTATCGAAAGCAAATATGGTCATTCCAAAGATATTGAAGCCTAGCTACTGGGTAGACATCTTCCTCACCTTATTTTTGAAAATCGTATTAGCGATATTATTAAAAACGCTATACTACATTAAAGGGGAGGAGGTTAGAGTATCAAAAGTTGAAGGTCCGATTAAGAAAGCAAATGAAGAACACCTGGACACAAACATATCAAAAGAGAGATCAATTAACCCAAACGAATTAATTAGCGAGCATAAAAAAATTGACGAAGCGGAAGCGGAACAAGAAGCAGAAGCAGAAACCGATTCTACTCTCCATACGGGTACCCTATCTGAATTGAAAGATGATGATGATGCTATTAGAAAGATCTTTGTTGACGATGAAATAATGGATGATGATAAATCAGAAGAATCATCATCGTCATCATCATCAGATGAATCATCCGAAGAAGAATTTGAAAATCATCACGAAATTGCTTGTCCACCACTTGAAATAAGAACTTCACACAGTACTAATCGTAATAATCATTCGGATATTTTACCATTTGAGGTAACTTTTATTTTTGAAATATCATTTTTAAATATAAAAAATAAATTAATACATTTGTATTATTATTATTTTAGTTTAAATGGAAACATGGTGGAAACGACGTTACCGTCACGGGCGATTTCGATAATTGGCAATGTAAATTTTAATCACGTGACTGAATTTTCAGCAGGATTCAATACCACAAGTTTAATAACCTTTTTTTATATTTATTTTAGGCACTCATAAAATGAAATATAATCCTTTATCCAATGATTTTGTTGCTGTTGTTGATATTGATCGTACAAAGCAGCATGAATTCAAATTCGTTGTTGATGGAATGTGGCAACCAAACTGGGATTTACCAACACAAACAGATGAACGTAAGTAATAAATATTTAAGAACGATGACTAAACTTTGCGAATCTTATACACTGAACTTTTTTATATTATTAGATGGAAATGTTAACAACGTAATCTATGGCTTGCCATCTAGTCCATTGAATACCGAATTCAGAGAATATTCTGGTAATGATTTTGTTATATTTATTTAATAACCTCTTTTTTGAGATGAATATTTGAATAACCTTTAAATTTTTTTATTTGTAGCTCCTTTCTCTCAATTTGCCGCCGCTTGTTAAATAGGGTTCAATTCAGTTAATATTTGCAGGGCAAATTTTGAAACTACAATCGTTCTGCATAATTTTTTTTTTTTTTTTTTAAAAATAATAATTCGATTCTTTATGTTAACTATATCCGAAATATCAAAGTATTTTTTATTTTCATAACATATTTATTGAATCTGTTTTGTATAGTTGTATATCTTTTTTTTTTTTTTTTGGTAGATTTAATATTTTTAATTTTTTTTGGTTTCAATAAAATTTTTTTTTAAAAAAAAAAACTGATGTGATACAAAGTGATCATTTTAGCTAAATGAATGAAATTCTAAAAATCTTTGATGATATCAAAGATAAAATTAAAACTATTCAATAAAATTATATGATCACATGTGAAGTTAATTATCCTGAAAGATCATGATTTACGTGGTCAGGCTAAGCACTGCAGGATCGCTAATGGGTATATATCAGTGTAACCGCACCGAGTAATTGTGGGGTAAAAAAACGTTTTTTAAATAGATGATTAAGGAGAAAAAAAATTTAGATTATTACATTACACAAATCAAGACAATATTAACTTTTATATTATAACTCCCTTCACAAACTTGTTCAATGACCTGCTTCTCGTTCTAATAAACTTTGTTCCAAAAATCTAGTAAGGAACTTTAATATACGGACTAGTTTATGTGTAATTTCTGATTGGATGCAGGCAATCATGCGTCGTCAACGCCCCCCTGCAAATGCAACAAAACAAACTTATATTCTAGACCAAATAAAAATAAAATTTTATTTGTGAACAATTATTAATTATTATTATAAATATTAAAATTAATAAAACAAGTAATTCCGAACAGGTCGGGTCGGGTCGGGTCGGTCAAAACTGAAACCGATCTGAATATCATGTGATTTAGTCAGATTTACTTTTTGTTTACCCGAAAATCCACTCCTGGTCCCAAACAATGATATCGCTAATGTTTGTCCTATATGATAATCCTATACCAGATACTCTTTATTAAATCCTTTTCACAAAAATAAAACCATTAAATCGAAAAAGATTGTTGTACTATATGAAATTATTGAATAGAAATCACTTTTTCGATTCAGTTTCCTCTTCAACTTTTTCACTAGACACAATAGGACCTGATGAATAATTAAACAGAACAAACTGTACTAACAAGAAATTAAATGACAAATGCCTATTTAATTGAAGAAACTAAACAGTTATTAAGTGAAAAAGCTTGGTGAATTTAAAAAAAATAACACATAACATACTCCTTTTTTACGTTTTTTTTTTTTTTTTTTAGCTAGAATCGATTTAAGATAAAGCGTCTTTTCTTCGTTAATTTTAATAAATGTAAATACATATTCGCCTCTAAATAACCAAAAATTCAGGTCAAGATCAGCAAATTATTAAACTGTATTTCGCCCCCCTTGTAGATTAAATTTTGGCTAATGCGGACATTTCGATAGTGCATATCAGCAGCATAAATATTTACTGTATTGTACAATGTCTATTGTTTTATTTATTATAAAAATGTCTAATATAAAATTTTCTTATAAAATTTTTTGAACTGCTAAAACTAATAACTAAATTCTGCAACAACTAAAAGAGCATTTAATTAAACTTGAATTCGTCCAAGTGGACTCAAATTTGGACTCGAGATGTTCTAGTTTACGTCTTGCACTCGCTAATAATGAATTTGATATACGACGTGTTCCAATTATATCTTTTATAATGGTCGCGACTTCGTCCGCGCTGTCAGACGTGAACATAGGGTTCTGTATCGAATACAAGTTATCTAGGATACTCCATTCAGAGTATTTAACAGTGTCAAAGTAGTTGTTGATTTGTCGGTATAAATCCATTTGATGATCTAGAAATAACATTGAAGGATAATCAGCTTGATAACCAGCCTGTGTTTAACGTGTCCTAACTAGGAACTTTGTTTCAATAGCAACTGGTCAGCAAACGTCATGGAGTAGGTGACAATGTAGACACAAGAACAAAATACGTGTCATCAAGGCAGGTATCCTGACTATTGCTGCCAAACATCGGCCGAAAGGGATCGCGAGCATAATGAACTCACGGTGGTGCACAATCGTACGTAGGATTTTGCTGGAAGTTCATAATATCACAATATACATTTAATAAATATTTACTTTCCTAACCTGAACCGGCGACGACGAAGCGAGAATAAAAAAAAAATCACTTGCTAGAAGGAAAAAAAATGAATATATATACGCGATTTGCACATCGCACAGTCCTTATTCCTTCGGCAAGAAATATTACCAAATATCTTCTGCGCAGGAGCAAATGTATCATTCTTATACAATCACGTGCTATTTTCTTATACGATCAAATTATGCAACAATATGCACCCCCTTTTATGTATCTTTCTTAGACCATCAGATACTATTTTCTTGTACGATCAGATATGCGTCTTTTTTAACAAAAAAAATTTCAAAACTCGTGAAGTGATTATTTTACTAAAAGCGCATTTAATCACTTTTATATTTTTTTATTTTAATTTTTCTTTGTTCAAACGAAACTTTATCACTATTAGAAACTTGAGTTATCACTTTATATTTTGTTCTTTATTTTAAATATCACATATGTGCCAATCTCTAAATTTTTGACGAGCCCTAAATTTGTAAACCAATCAAAATAACAATACTATTTGTAGATCAGTTAAATAAACACTAAATTTAAAAATATGTAAAATGTTCATAACAAAAACCTTATGAGCAGAAAAACTATCCTGCATCACCTGAAATAATATATTATAGTGATCGAAAATTTAATTATATTGTCATTCAGTAAGGTGTTTACTTATCAGTTATGCAAATGTATTACCTAATTATTTTTCTATTTCTGATAATTATGTTATTTAAACTACTTGGGGTTAGGCTAGTAACTGTCGTATTATTCAATGTTGTATATATTATATAGAAGGAATTTCACATTATCTGATTTATTTTGAAGATAATTTTCAACATCAAGTTGTTTCAGTTCAATCTTTATTTGATACTTCTGTTGAGTTACATAAGATAATTTTAACTTATTTATAATTTTATATTTTGAAAATTTCAGGTATTTTTAGCAAACATATATTTAATAGATAATAACATCTAATAAGAAACTGCTATTTCTGAAATTGATCTTTTTGGACTTCAATTAAAATGCATTGATAGAAATTGTAAAAGTAAACCATATGCATTAAAACTTTATGAAGAAACAAGTAAAACAACTCAAATTAAATGTGCTAAAGATCTTGCAAAAAAATCAAATAAACTTTGAAAATTCAACTTAAAATTTTTACAATCTTAAAGATCATGTTGTTTTAAAAACTATAGAATTTACTGTACAAAATAAGAAATATTATTCATCATTTAGAGAAAAAAATCCTAATGAAAAAATAGAAATTGCAATTGATAATCTGTATGCAAGATGTAAAGAATATTTCACATAATATATATCATCACTTTGCAGCTTTAGAAGTAAAATTACCAAGTGAATATTCAGTTTCTTAAACTCATTAAGAGATCGATGCATATATGAAAAAGTTAATACTAATTAATTTTATTGACTTAAAAAACTCTGCTACTATCACACCAGATCCTTTAAAAAAAGCTAATATAACTGATTCAATAATTGTTGAACAAGTTGTTAGTGCAATTGGAAAGGGTATTTATCAAAGTATTAAAAAATTTCTAGAATTTATAGTACTAGTATATATTCAAATAGAAAATTAGATCTTACAGTACTAATTATTCATCTTTGAATTTCTAATAATAATAGAAATATTAGATAAAAAGTAAAATATATTATGATTACTATCGCATTATTAGATGATTTAAAAAACTTTTTGAATTTAATTATCATTATACAACTATCTTATTTTCAGGAACTGAAAATTATTCAACTTTAAAAATTGCAACAGATATTTTATTTAAGAATTATAAGAATTAAATAATACTTAAATAGTTATTAATAATATTTTGTTAGAACTTTGAATTTTTTTTAATTCAATTTGAAATTTCTAGCTATATATTTAAGTTTTAATGTTACAAACTCAAATTATTTTGTCCATAATGTAATATAACTAAGAATCAACGTAAAAATAAAAAATTGAATAAATAATTAGTAAAAAAAATGAGCATTTTGAATGAAAATTCTACAGCATATCTTGTTTATCGCTTACCTCAACTTTTTAATATAATTTCATTTGATAATTATATACTTAATAAATTATATAATATTATACATTATAGATTGTTTGTGAAAATTAGTATTATAAGAAATTAAAAATAAAGAATTATTTAATGATATAACTTGAAGAATTATAATTAAAGAGATGGAAATTTAAAAATTCTCTTTGAATTTTAAAAAATTTGTGATACTAATAGTTAAAATTATACTTCTTTAATGAAAGATGATAAGCTCTATATTTTTTGAAAATTTGATTTAACTAAATTTATTGATTCAGAATTTGTTACATTAATTAGAAGTTTATAGAATGGATTTTCTAAATTATATGATCTTATAGGAAAAAAGGAAACAGATTCATAATATTTCATATAAAAGTAAAGATATAGTACAAGTTATTTTTAAAAAAAACTGTAATAGATTCTAAAACTAATACTATTTTAGTATAAAGACTTTATCGCTTCTCAGATTTAACTCCTTATATTCATGTTTTTATATCACATATTTGAGAATTTATGTTAAAACATCAAAAATTGAGATTAGATTTATTTTTATGTAGTTAAGATTGCTAAATGAAACCTAGAGATTTGCAAGTTATCTAAATAGAAAAAGGTAAAATTTAATAAAATTATATTAAAAACTTATTAAAAAATCTATAAAATTCTGAAAAAGTTTATAAAAATGCAAAACTATATTAAAACCTTAGTAAAAATTTATCAAAACTATAATTTAGACATTTTGTCAAATCTAAAATAAGTATAAACAAGTAATCTTACATATAATATCAAAAAAAACATGATCATATCTATTACTTTTTTCAAAAATACTTAAAAATGAAAGAAAATTTCAACATAAAACTTCAGCCATTTATAAAATTTTGGAATATGAGAATTGTCTTTTTTTTATATTCAAAATAATATTCCTCTTTCATATTCTAAACTTCAATATATTCATATTTTATAATAATGTATAATTGCATTATATAGTATTATACAATTAATTTCAAGATTTAATTTTTATTTTGCTAGAGTTTATTGAGATAGATTTATTATAAAATAGTGATTTTATATTGCTCAAATTTTACAAATAAAATTATTTTGTGAATTGAATTAATCAATTATATTATTGGTGAAAATAATTATTTAACAAATACTTTTAAAAGGAAATAGAATTGAATAGATACAAATATATCATCAATGTAATAATACCATAATCATTATTCTAATAGCATAAGTGTTAATACTTTCAGATATATTTTTTTAATATCTTTATTATCAAGACCTATTAAAGAATTACTTTATATTAAAAAATAACTTTTAGTTGGAAGCTTCTTATTTTTTCAAATATTTATTGTTAATTCTTTATTTGTTAAGAAATAAAATACATAAAGAAAAACTTGAAAATATTTTAATATATAATTAGGGTATTTATCGGTAAGCTAAATAATAATTTGATATTGATAATTTATTATATTTAAGCCATATTAAAAATTTAAATATTTATATACTAATTGGTATTCAGACCACTATTTCTTATTATTTAAGTTAAAAAATTTTAAAATATTTATATTGATTAAGAAACCTAATATCATCAAACTGCATTTTTTGTAAAAAATATCAAATAAAATTTCTGATAAGATGAAGTGCTAGTATCTCAGATAGTAATAAAACATAAAAAATATAATAATAATGCTAAATACTTGATTTCTTTCATAACTATATTTTAAAGTCTAAAAAGAAATTTAAAAAAAACCTTTTAAAAAGTTAAGAATATTCTTTAAAATTGATTCAAATAATTTTTAGATAATATACTTAATTTGATCATTTTTTTATAACATATATTGAATGAACTTCTCAGCTTAGTACAATATTTAAAAAAAATAAACTTTTTTTTCTAGTATAAACAAGTATTTTTTTAATAAAAATTTGATTAATTTTTTGAAAGATGAATTAAAAATTTTTATTTTATCAATGTCAAGTTCAATCAAAATTGATTAATTAAATTATTAAATTTTTTAAAAAAACAAAACTGTTCTAATATATTTTTGATATTATTGATAAATTTTTAATATCACTATTAAAGAATTGGGAGTTAAAGATACTCACTTGAGATGCTTAGGTTATTTAAACATTTGTAAACTAATTAAATATTTATCAATAAAAAGATATTTATTTAAATTTTCAATTTTAATAGAAGATTAAAAATTTATTACAATTTGTCTAACTTTTAAAATAGTATTATTCCTTTAAAATAATAATAAAAAGGTTGAAATATTAGATAAATTATAATTAAAAAATTAAATCATATTACAATAGTTGAAAATAATGTAAAATTAATACTAAAATATCAATTAAAGATATAATAAGTTATTAAATTTAATAACTTATTCAGACAAACTAATTTAATATGACAATTAATTTTACTTTTAATTTTTAAAATAATTAAAAGATCAACTAAAAGAAGAAAAAAAGCATTTTTAAATAAAACAAAATAATAAGAATCTTAAAGATAAATATAGAAATCCTGTTAAAACCTTAAAGATAAATAATTATAGTTATTTTGATATATAAATATATTTGAGAAATACAAAACTTTTATTATAGGATTGTTATAGACTTTCAGAAGTAAAAACAGCATTATGATTTAATATACCAGATTTGAATGATTAAATAAAAGAATGGCAGACTTAGAAATATTTTTAGAGATCCAAGAAAGTAAACTTGAAAAATCAGAGAAAATTTAAAGAATATGTAAATTGATTATTTTATTTAATTGTATAAAAATCTTTTTAAATTATAACTGAATTTAATTTTAAATAAAGAAAAGTTAGAAGTTTATTCAAACCA